AAAGAATGTGTTGAAACTGATTGTGGTAGCAATTGTACACTACTGCTTGGTAATATTGAGCTATGGAATGATATGATACCTGTATTAACTCCCAATAATGTGGTTTTGAAAATAGTGTTAAGCAAAGATGTCACTTTAAGGACTCTCTGAGAAAGTATTTGTAAATGCTTCATATACATGTAAAAGTTGGACAAACAATAAGGAAAACTGAAAAGGAAGCAAAGCCTTAGAATTGTGGTGTTGGTGGAGAATAACACATATAGCATGAACTGCCAGAAGAACGGAGAAATATATACTGGAAGAGGTACAGCCAGAATGTTCTTTAGAAGTGCGATGGCCTAACTTTGTCTCACACACTTTGAACACAGCAGTCCCTGGAGAACCACATCATGCTTGGTAAAGCAGGTGGTTAGCAGAAAGGGGGATGATCTTCAACAACAAGAATGGACACAGTGGCTACAACAATGGGCTCAAATACGTACAGCGATCGTCGGGCTGACCCAAGACCAAGCAGTATTTTGTTCTGTTGTGCACAGGTTGCAAGGAACTAGAACTGATTTGATGGCACCTAGAAGCAACAACATGGACATTAAACTATACAACCTTATAGAAAGACACACACACTCACATATAGGTAACAAAAAATAGTGCACACACACAAATACGGGACAAAACCTATGCTGTCCAATATGGTAGCCACTAGCAACATGCAACTATTGAAAACTTGAAATGTGTCCAATTTGAGGTGTGCTCTAAGTGTAAAATGTAACCACTGAATTTCATAAATAGCAGGAAAGTAAAGCATGTAAAATATCTCATTAATAATGTTATATGATTTTACCTTGAAACATTTTAAACACACATGGATACATAAAGCATAACATGTCTTACCCCTTTACTTTTACTTTTTACAAATATGGGTCCTAAAAAGATAAAACCATACCTGTTACTCTCATTGCATTTACACTGAGCTGTAGCCCCACTCATCCCCCCCGCCCACATCCATGCCCGTCTTCTCTGAAGGGACCCAAAGGTATGAGACTGAGCTTTTGTTGTCAGACTTCCTGTTGGCCTTGTGATCATTAATAAAAAACAAAACAAACTCCTACATCCTTTGGTCATAGAGATTTTTATAACCAGCTCTTATTATTTCTATTTAATTTAAAATCTTGGTGAGATTACATGAAATTTTATACCTTAATAGATACTTTTCCCTAGAAAACCCCTGGGAAATGGTAAGAGTGTGTGTTAGCATTGCATGCGGGCCCGGGAAGGAGACATGGAACAGCTTTCCCAAAGGCTGGGTGTGAACGAGGCCACCATTTTACCAGCTGCCTATTTACTCCTTTATCTGGGCCTTCGTTTGCATTGATAAAAAAAAGTGGGAGTACTGTTAGTTTTTGTAAGGATCAAAAAGAAAAGTGTATATATGAATGTGCATTTAATTTGTGAAATATTCTGTAAATGTGATAGGAGAGAAGGGGATTAACCTGCATTGAATATTGCCTACGTTAGCCTTTCCTTTGTGATGGGTTTTTCTTTGTTATTGTTGCTGTTCGGTGCCATTGAGTCAGTTCTGACCCATAGAGACCTTATGCACAACAGAAGGAAACACAGTCCGGCGCCGTCCTCACAATAGTTCCTGTGCTTGAGCCTATTGTTATAGCCACGGTGTCAAACCATCTCCTTGAGGGCTTTCCTCTTGTTCACTGCCTCCCACTTTACCAACCATGAGGTCCTTCTACAGGGACTGGTCTCTCCTGATGTTATGTCCAAAGTATGTCAGACGAAGTCTCACCATCCTTGACTCTAAGAAACACTTTAGCCATACTTCTTCAAAGACAGGTCTGTTGGTCCTTTGAGCTTTCAATAGAGAGTCTCCAGCATCACATTGATTTTTCTCCAGTCTTCTTTATATCGTGCCCAACATCACTGTGAGGCAATTGAAAATATCATGGTTTGGGTCAGGTGCACCTTAATCCTCAAAGTAACCTCTTTGCTGTTCAGTATTCTAAAGGAGATCTTGTGCTGCAGATTTACCTAATGCAATACATCTTTTGTCCTCTTGATAGCTGCTTCCATGAGCACTGATTGTAAATCAGTGCAAGACAATATCCTTGACAAATGCAACCTTTTCTCCATTTATCACAATTTTAAGTATTGGTCCAGTTGTGAGGA